TTAATAATGATACAGTTACAGACTCTGCTGCTATAACTTTGTAAACAAAGATTCATACGCACCGCGTGGGTATAACCGTATTACTAATGTTCGATTATTAAAATCTTCGTAAATCTGGATAAAGACCAGTTTCTATCCAATGGATATCAAAATGATTCCGATTATTACTTTTTTAATGATAATAAAGTTGAATTGGCATGAAAGGCTGACATTATTTCGGAGAACTATTTTGTCTAGCGATTGCTGATCATTGGAGGGTAAAAAGTCCAACACCATAACAAAACGGATCTATTTATCATGTATACATACCGATTGTTTACGATTGTAAGACATGTGCATAAAAGTGAAAGCTCGAATAAATATGAAAAATATAACAAAGGAATAGCTCCAAATACCATTTAATAACAAAAAACATATGGACAGGTCAAGATATCTTTTTGGTAAATAAAATAACGTATGTAAGCTGGATCCCGTCCGACTACAACACTTTGTTCGAGTGTAGCGTAATACAAGCAGATTCCAGTTAGTATGTAAAATAGTAAATATGAAACCGAGTGCGGTAGGCGGAGGCATAATCAACTTCCGTTAGTTCTGGTCAATGGTATCGGAAACATGCCGCTGATAGCGTCATTTTCCAAAAATGTTTAGATTTATATTATGCATGTCTGTTTGAGAACCATTTCATAAGACCGATGATTTCTATAGAAATCATTGATGGGACCCATTATAAATACATTTTTTTTATTATTCCTGGAGTAGATAATAATTTTCTTTTAATCTTTGGGAATTATTCAATTTGTTTTTATGTTAAAATAATTAACTTCATAATTTGATTAAGAAAATCCATTTCAATTCAATTTTTTTTCATCAAAATGATGATTTTCATTTTCATCTATCAAACTTTTTAAATTGTAGTGGCATGGTCGGTCAACTGATAAGTTGTATGGCTGATTACAGGTAAAGCAATAACTTCTATTTGACAGTTGCGTGTACTCTGGGGTGTGGAATACCTTAATTTTATGGGGAACATCCTGTCCATGTGTAATACTTAATATATTCCAACAGATGATATTACACAAATTTTTCTTCTGTTAAATGAATGATTTGTATATCATCATAATTTGCTATTTATATAAACCACATTTTGGTATAATAATTATTTACCATATCAACATTGAATATTGTGAATGTAGAATGAAATATGTCTACAGTATGATTGGTTTGAATCATTTAATTTATAAGATTTAGGAATCAAAATTTGTAATTATTTAAAAACCCACATTGAAATTGTTTTATATCAACACACCCACATTTTAATTATTTTATACTTTAGATTTCATAGCCATATTTGCATTTGTAAAAATATTTATATACCCAAATTTTCAATTATTTTATATTTACATGCCCTACTTTTATTTTTGTTGTAAAGAAGTGTAACTTGAAACAACAGTATATCATATAAAGAGAAATAAAGATTAAAGTGATATCATGAATATTGGTCATGATTTGTAAAACTCAGAACTGTCAAGTAAATTTAAGACACGATTCAAAATGTTCAGAATATGTCAAGCCATACTGAGAACAAATAAGAATGTCGAGAATATGTCGAGAAATTTCAAGACAGTATTCAAATGTCAAGAATTTGTCAAGAAATTTTAAGACCATATTCAGAATGTCGAGAATATGTCGAGTAAATTTCATACAAATTTAATATAAATGAGAATTTGTCAAGAAAAGTTAAGACACAAGTCATACTTTTGGAGAATGTCGAGTAAAAGTTCATGCAAATTAAGACAAAAACTGGTCCTTTCAGACTTTTAGACTTTTGTAGTGCAATTACCCCCAAACTCAATTCCAGCTTTCCCTTTGTGATATGGAACCTTGTAGTACAATTTCAGAAATATCCAAACACTTACACACAAGTTATTGTCATGAAACTAGAAAAATGCTTGTTTTTTGCCCCTTTTTTGGCCCCTAATTCCTAAAATTTTGAGGCAATTACCCCCAAAATCAATTACAGCCTTCCCTTTGTGATATGGAACCTTGTGGTACAATGTCAGAGAGATCAATACACTTACACACAAGTTATTGTCTGGAAGTTACAAAAATGCTTATTTTTGGCCCCTAATTCCTTAACTGTTGGTACCATAACCCTCAAAATCAATCCCAACCTTCCTTTCGTGGTATTGAACCTTATGGTAAAATTTCATGGAGATCCATTCACTTAAACTAAAGTTAGAGTGCGAAAACCAATGTGTCTTCGGACGACGCCAGACGACGACGCCAACGTCATACCAATATACGACCAAAAATTTTTTAATTTTTGCGGTCGTATAAAAATTAGTTCAACATGTGAAAAGAAGTCATCAAACATTGTGTTGAACAAACTTTGGTGATAAACACAAATTCCCATAACTTATTTGTGAGGTTGATGTTCTTTAGTTTTTTGTTTTGGATTTAACTGACTTTTGTTATTTTGGTCATGGTGCTATCTGTAGTTCCTTAACTTATAGAGGTTTGTTTGTAACCAGCTGAGACTCTGATATTGTAAAATGAGAAATGGTCAATTTGACAGCAAAAGGTCATTTCAACCAAAAAATAATTTAAGGATTTCATTTCTTTTTTTTCAGCTCACACTATAACAATAAAAAGGGGGATAACTCCTACAGGTGCCTATCCACATACAGTTCACAAGCCTCATATATTTTTAAATTATATTTCAATATCAGACAGAGCTCAGACATAAACAAGTAAAATCTAAGAAGACTTGTTGAAGTCAGATTATGCATTTTTAAGAAGAAGTTATAAATATTATTTTCACCTTAACATGCTTAATATGCTAGCCTTTCATGCCAAATTCTTTTCAGCAAAATTTTTTTTGCATTTTTAGATTTGTAAAAAACCTACAGAATAAAAATAACCATTTGTATGATGATTGATAATGTCACGATTCAAACATTTTCAAGTAAATAAATTAATCATACATAACACTTTAAACATGTTAAATGACTTTTAACAATTTATCCCAAGTGCATAATTGCTTAGGGGTCATCCATAATTGTCAACCATTTTCCAAAGTGTTCAAAACGTACACTTGGGGAGAGGGGGTTAAAAAATCATAATTTTTACCGTACGCTTTTTTTTTTTATTTCCGGATTTTTTTCGTTTCTGCAGGGTTCGGTTTTTTTATTACCACCATGAAGCCATTTATCATTGATGCGTTTGAAAATAACGTAAAATTGTACATTAAAAGTAGCATGTTTTAAAATATATGTGATACAGATTATGATGGCTCGCCAAACAAATCTTTTAATAACTAGATGCCTGTGGTATGAAGGTTTTATTAATAGACATAATCTTGCATAAAATGTAGGCCACAATTTATATATATATATACATGTATAGATGTTGTTCAGGCTATCTGCTTAATTGCTTGCTTTCAGTGTAATTTCTTGGTATATAATCTGCATGTAAATGCATCTATCCCATTCATTAAAACCAACAAAACAACAAAATGGTATCTTTATACTCTTTATTCTGACAAAACACAAGCATCACAGATCATGCAGATAGATGTCATCAAATAAAACAGTCAGATATGTTTCAGTTTATTTTCAATGCAAATTTCTATATTTAACTAAACTATAATCATGATAATAGACAGGATCTTCTTTTTATTAAGAATGATTGATTCTCGTCTTGAAATCTGAAAATGGTTGATGTACACTTTTTGAGGGAGGGTGGGGGGGGGTCTGAAAAAGTGTATGTTTTGTACACTTTGGAAAATGGTTGACAATTATGGATGACCCCTTAAAAAAGTTTGTACAATATGACTGTTTTTATGGTTAAACAATTAAAACACCACTTTAGCACTCTTGGTAATATTATCATGATCATGGCTGCAAATTTAAATTGGTAGAGGAAGCGGGATTACCTGGAGTGAACAACCAACCTTAAGCAGGAAAACTGACAATCCTAGTCAATTAAGATCAAAGTTTAATTGTGAGAGGAAGCGGGATTACCTGGAGTGAACAACCAACCTTAAGCAGGAAAACTGACAATCCTTGTCAATTAAGATCAAAGTTTAATTGTGAGAGGAAGGGGGATTACCTTGAGTGAACAACCAACCTTAAGCAGGAAAACTGACAATCCTTGTCAATTAAAATCAAAGTTTAATTGTGAGAGGAAGGGGGATTACCTTGAGTGAACAACCAACCTTAAGCAGGAAAACTGACAATCCTTGTCAATTAAAATCAAAGTTTAATTGTGAGAGGAAGGGGGAATACCTTGAGTGAACAACCAACCTTAAGCAGGAAAACTGACAATCCTAGTCAATGAAGATCAAAGTTTAATTGTGAGAGGAAGGGGGATTACCTTGAGTGAACAACCAACCTTAAGCAGGAAAACTGACAATCCTTGTCAATTAAAATCAAAGTTTAATTGTGAGAGGAAGGGGGATTACCTTGAGTGAACAACCAACCTTAAGCAGGAAAACTGACAATCCTTGTCAATTAAAATCAAAGTTTAATTGTGAGAGGAAGGGGGATTACCTTGAGTGAACAACCAACCTTAAGCAGGAAAACTGACAATCCTTGTCAATTAAGATCAAAGTTTAATTGTGAGAGGAAGGGGGATTACCTTGAGTGAACAACCAACCTTAAGCAGGAAAACTGACAAGATCAAAATTTAAAGCACGTTGCAACAAGCAGCTTTCCAACTCATAATTTCAGTGTTGACTGGCTAGTGATCACTATAGATGAATTACCTTGACCACTATACCACTTAGGACCACAAATTGTATGAAATCTTATCCTACATGTTCTTACTGGTCAGTTTTGGTATAAAAAAAACAAATGATGGGAGGTAACTCACGACATCAAATATTCTTACTTCCATAAGCCATTTGTAAGCATATAAGTACTTATTAAATTAAAAAAAAAATGATGTAAAGCTCTAAATGTAATACACAGGGTTATGCACTTGACTGGTTTATATTGTACCTCTGTTTTGATCTGAAATGCAGCCCCACTGTTCCATGTTGGTGGTTGTTCATCAATGTCTGGACTGACTGGCATATGGCTGGACTCCATTCCTATCAATCATAAATCACATTCTTATTCAGTTCAAAAGAAATACTATAAAATACACCATAGTATGGTCGGATATATAAAATTCATAAAGGTTCTGTGGAGATGTGTCTGCTATTGCTGCTGTCACTAGAAATGTGTTGACTGCCAAAAACTAATTAAATTTATCAGTAAAATAACAAAATTTTTATTTTTCTAAGATGCTACAAACATGACAAATGTATTTTTAATTCTATCAGAGTTTTGTTACCTTTTAGGCATGTTAGAAAGGGTTAACAAATGTATTGATGTCATAAAGTTAAACTGCATCATGCACAAGTAATAAGTAAATGTTAACTCACAGCAAAAAGTAACATGATGAAAATCAATACCATCAAAAATTATAAAGTACAATCTTCAATGTGTGTGATCACGTTTAAATACATGGATCAATGTGTGTGATCACGTTTAAAGACATGGATCAATGTGTGTGATCACGTTTAAAGACATGGATCAATGTGTGTGATCAAGTTTAAAGACATGGATCAATGTGTGTGATCACGTTTAAAGACATGGATCAATGTGTGTGATCAAGTTTAAAGACATGGATTGCATGTACATTGTATGTGATGACCAAAACAAGAAAATCAAAGTTACTTCGATCTACTCCATGACTCCAGCTACCTGGCAACGTTTCTTCGTCCGCCATTAAAATAGTTTTACATAACAGATATGACGTGAACTAAATATAACTGAAATCTGTATTCTTAAGATAACTACAAACGTAGAATGGCTCAGCTGACAGAAGATGATGCAAAGTGAAAAATACTCTTTCCACACACATTAACAGACATTTGGTTAGATACAATGTATTTAGTTGGTAGTTTCTGACAAGTAAAAACACATTATTGTCATTATAATGTGTAACTATAAATGACAACTTCAGACATAAACTGAGACAACCCAAATTGTATTCTCGACAGTGGTCCAGCTAGGATTTCTAAAGGGCAGGGTGCCAATCCTGCAACATGTAATAAACTGCTTTGCTGAGTGCAGCTGGATACGCCCGCAGAGGTCCAACCCTGAACAGTTGGGGCAAAAATGGACACAATATTCAAGCTTGACATGCTTGATACAGGTCTGAATTTGGATTGTAATTAAATATTTGACATATTATAGGTTTCTGAATAAATGTAGTCAAAGAACTTGAAATTGGTTATATGAATTGAATTTACCTTCAATTAAAGATTTCTTGCTGTTGTGCAATACTTAGTAAATCTGTTGTCAGACTATAAACAAACAAAGTGCAATTTCTTCTCAATGTCATATTTGAAATTTATGAAAATCAATAGGGAGATTACATCAATAGCTATAAATAATTCACCAAAATTTCATGAGAACTGCTGAAAGCATTTTTGAGTTGTTGTTCAAAAACTGGATAATCCCCCCTTTTTTAATGAATAAAACCCCATAACTCAAAAATGTAAAATCTAAAATTTATAAAATTCTAAAGGGAGCTTACATCAACAGATATAAACAATTCACCAAAGTTTCATGAGAACTGCTGAAATCATTTTTTAGTTATTGTCTGAAAACTGGAAAATCCCCCTTTTTTATGAATAAAACCCTGTAACTCTGAAACGTAAAATCTAAATTTATAAAAATCGAAAGGGAGTTTATGTCAATAGATATAAACAATTCAACAAAATTCCTTGCAAGTTGGTGAAAGCATTCTTGAGTTATTGTCGGAAAACTGGAAAAATCCCCCCTATTTTAATGAATAAAACCCCAAAACTCGGAAACGGTAAATCTGAAATTTATAAAAAACGAAAGGGAGCTCACATCAATGGATATAAACAATTCACCAAAGTTTCATGCATATTGGTTAAAGCTTTTTTGAGTTAATGTCCGACATGTTGACGACGGACGGACAGATGGTCAACGGTATACCATAATATGTCCCGTAAACAGGCCTATAAAAATGGCATGTAACATGTGAAATGATAATATGAAAAGGGCATGTTTAACGAGATATCAATCAAACATTGTCTATATTCATAGAAACACTGGTTATACATGTTATATACAAGTACAACATTAATACAAACTACATTAATGAATGAATGGTGATCTGACAGTGGAGGGCAGGCCACTTTATACAAGTACAACATTAATACAAACTACATTACTGAATGAATGGTGATCTGACAGTGGAGGGCAGGCCACTTTATACAAGAACAACATTAATACAAACTACATTACTGAATGAATGGTGATCTGACAGTGGAGGGCAGGCAACTTTATACAAGAACAACATTAATACAAACTACATTACTGAATGAATGGTGATCTGACAGTGGAGGGCAGACAACTTTATACAAGAACAACATTAATACAAACTACATTACTGAATGAATGGTGATCTGACAGTGGAGGGCAGGCCACTTTATACAAGTACAACATTAATACAAACTACATTACTGAATGAATGGTGATCTGACAGTGGAGGGCAGGCAACTTTATACAAGAACAACATTAATACAAACTACATTACTGAATGAATGGTGATCTGACAGTGGAGGGCAGGCCACTTTATACAAGAACAACATTAATACAAACTACATTACTGAATGAATGGTGATCTGACAGTGGAGGGCAGGCAACTTTATACAAGAACAACATTAATACAAACTACATTACTGAGTCTGAATGAATGGTGATCTGACAGTGGAGGGCAGGCCACTTTATACAAGTACAACATTAATACAAACTACATTACTGAATGAATGGTGATCTGACAGTGGAGGGCAGGCAACTTTATACAAGTACAACATTAATACAAACTACATTACTGAATGAATGGTGATCTGACAGTGGAGGGCAGGCAACTTTATACAAGTACAACATTAATACAAACTACATTACTGAATGAATGGTGATCTGACAGTGGAGGGCAGGCCACTTTATACAAGTACAACATTAATACAAACTACATTACTGAATGAATGGTGATCTGACAGTGGAGGGCAGGCAACTTTATACAAGTACAACATTAATACAAACTACATTACTGAATGAATGGTGATCTGACAGTGGAGGGCAGGCAACTTTATACAAGAACAACATTAATACAAACTACATTACTGAATGAATGGTGATCTGACAGTGGAGGGCAGGCCACTTTATACAAGAACAACATTAATACAAACTACATTACTGAATGAATGGTGATCTGACAGTGGAGGGCAGGCAACTTTATACAAGAACAACATTAATACAAACTACATTACTGAATGAATGGTGATCTGACAGTGGAGGGCAGGCAACTTTATACAAGAACAACATTAATACAAACTACATTACTGAATGAATGGTGATCTGACAGTGGAGGGCAGGCCACTTTATACAAGTACAACATTAATACAAACTACATTACTGAATGAATGGTGATCTGACAGTGGAGGGCAGGCAACTTTATACAAGAACAACATTAATACAAACTACATTACTGAATGAATGGTGATCTGACAGTGGAGGGCAGGCAACTTTATACAAGAACAACATTAATACAAACTACATTACTGAATGAATGGTGATCTGACAGTGGAGGGCAGGCCACTTTATACAAGTACAACATTAATACAAACTACATTACTGAATGAATGGTGATCTGACAGTGGAGGGCAGGCAACTTTATACAAGAACAACATTAATACAAACTACATTACTGAATGAATGGTGATCTGACAGTGGAGGGCAGGCAACTTTATACAAGTACAACATTAATACAAACTACATTACTGAATGAATGGTGATCTGACAGTGGAGGGCAGGCAACTTTATACAAGTACAACATTAATACAAACTACATTACTGAATGAATGGTGATCTGACAGTGGAGGGCAGGCAACTTTATACAAGAACAACATTAATACAAACTACATTACTGAATGAATGGTGATCTGACAGTGGAGGGCAGGCCACTTTATACAAGAACAACATTAATACAAACTACATTACTGAATGAATGGTGATCTGACAGTGGAGGGCAGACAACTTTATACAAGAACAACATTAATACAAACTACATTACTGAATGAATGGTGATCTGACAGTGGAGGGCAGGCCACTTTATACAAGTACAACATTAATACAAACTACATTACTGAATGAATGGTGATCTGATAGTGGAGGGCAGGCAACTTTATACAAGTACAACATTAATACAAACTACATTACTGAATGAATGGTGATCTGACAGTGGAGGGCAGGCCACTTTATACAAGAACAACATTAATACAAACTACATTACTGAATGAATGGTGATCTGACAGTGGAGGGCAGGCCACTTTATACAAGAACAACATTAATACAAACTACATTACTGAATGAATGGTGATCTGACAGTGGAGGGCAGGCCACTTTATACAAGAACAACATTAATACAAACTACATTACTGAATGAATGGTGATCTGACAGTGGAGGGCAGGCCACTTTATACAAGAACAACATTAATACAAACTACATTACTGAATGAATGGTGATCTGACAGTGGAGGGCAGGCCACTTTATACAAGAACAACATTAATACAAACTACATTACTGAATGAATGGTGATCTGACAGTGGAGGGCAGGCAACTTTATACAAGTACAACATTAATACAAACTACATTACTGAATGAATGGTGATCTGACAGTGGAGGGCAGGCCACTTTATACAAGAACAACATTAATACAAACTACATTACTGAATGAATGGTGATCTGACAGTGGAGGGCAGGCCACTTTATACAAGAACAACATTAATACAAACTACATTACTGAATGAATGGTGATCTGACAGTGGAGGGCAGGCCACTTTATACAAGTACAACATTAATACAAACTACATTATTGAATGAATGGTGATCTGACCGTGGAGGGCAGGCAACTTTATACAAGTACAACATTAATACAAACTACATTACTGAATGAATGGTGATCTGACAGTGGAGGGCAGGCCACTTTATACAAGTACAACATTAATACAAACTACATTACTGAATGAATGGTGATCTGACAGTGGAGGGCAGGCCACTTTATACAAGTACAACATTAATACAAACTACATTACTGAATGAATGGTGATCTGACAGTGGAGGGCAGGCAACTTTATACAAGTACAACATTAATACAAACTACATTACTGAATGAATGGTGATCTGACAGTGGAGGGCAGGCAACTTTATACAAGAACAACATTAATACAAACTACATTACTGAATGAATGGTGATCTGACAGTGGAGGGCAGGCAACTTTATACAAGTACAACATTAATACAAACTACATTACTGAATGAATGGTGATCTGACAGTGGAGGGCAGGCCACTTTATACAAGTACAACATTAATACAAACTACATTACTGAATGAATGGTGATCTGACAGTGGAGGGCAGGCAACTTTTTAGGTTGGGAAAGGGCACTTCTCAATTTATTTGTCTACGTTCAGTATGGGTTTTTATCACATGTTCACATTGTGTATTACTGTAAATGATGACAATAAAGATTGTATAAGTTGATTATTATATTAAAAAGTCTACAAAACATGATTTTACATAGTTTGCAGCTGTGTCAGAAGCTTGCTCACTGAATCGATTGTCCTTGTGAATAGCTAATGGTCTGTATATACATGTATGCTACAGAATAGAGAAAATGTTTTAAAATTAAAAAAAAATAAAAGAACAGAGTTCAAATGTCCCCGCATTGCACATATTTTGTCTATCTATTTAGGTACAAGGGCAATAACTAAATAAATGGGGAATGTGTCCATGGGACATAGATGATGCCCAAGCTTGAATATAACGTTACAAAGTGACACAACTCAAGAACGGTATAAGTGACACTACCAAAATTTGTACTTCATCTGAGTTTTGTCAATGTTTGTGGTAATGAGCATTGTGTATAAGTTTCAAAACTTGTTGAGGCAAACTTTAGAGAACGGAAAGATAAATTCAGCATTTTTTCCATTTGTAAAGGCCAAGGGACATAATTCTAGAACGATAAATTTAACACCACCCAAATTCAAACTTGATCTGTGTTTTGTGGTAATAATGTGGTGTATAAGTTTCAAAATATTTGGTTGAGGCAAACTAAAGTTGTAGAACGGAAACCAATTTTGGGACATACGGACGGATGTACAGACAGACAAGGGTAAAACTTAATGCCCCCTCCGCTATGGCAGGGGCAGAAAAAACACTTTTTTTTTGGTAAATGAAGGCTTCAGAGTGATTACTGTTATAATTAATATTTACAAGGGGCATAACTCGTTTAAGTATTTGATCAGCACTTATTTTCGAAAGTGTCAAAGACATTGCTGAAATAAACCTATGATATAAGTTTCATAAAATTCTGACAAGATTTATATACATGAGAGGGCTAACAATGCAATTTTCCATAAAAAAATCAATATATTTCCAAGGGGCATATCTCTTTTAAAATTAATAGATCGGCACTGAATTCCAAACTTGTCCCGAGACAATGATGATAAAAAACCAATAATATAAATTTCATAAACATCTTGCAAGAATTGTACACGAGAACGCTCACAAGGCAATTTCCAAGGGGCAGAAACTCTTTTAAAAATAATTAATCGGCACTGATTTTCAAAACTGTTCAATACATTGCTGATATAAACCTTTGATGTGTTTTTCATAAAATTCTGGCAAGAATCGTTCAAATGAGAGCGCTATCGATACGATTTTCCATATAATTAATGTTTCCCAGGGGCATAACTCTTTTAAAAATAACTGATCGGCACTGATTTTCGAACTCTACCAAGACATTGCTAATATAAACTATGATATAAGTTTCATAAAAATCTGGCAAGAATTGTACACAAGAGCGCTAACAATGCAATTTTCACAGGACCAGTCATTTTTTTAAATTTCCGTGCCTATCAATGTTTTGAATAAGAAAAATAAGAGGCAAGTAAATATTCTTTTATATATATATATATGATAAGACTTAGACAATGTAACAGTTGGCTGAGCCAGGTAAATGTTAAAATTTTCTTATTTTTTATCAGTAGATTGAAGTCTCGATTAACAGTCATGACAGTCAGGGGACTTATTGAAATAAGTGATTTTTAAATCACTTATTTAAGTAGCAAATTCGAAGTTTTGTCACAAATTGTGATTTTGTAGTTTTACCAAAATTTTAAACACATAGGTTTTGGATAAATCTTTTCATTAGTAAAATTGAAAAAAAAAATGAACTTTTTGCTTCTTTTAAGCAGCAAGGTTTATGCCTTTGATGCAATCATTTAGCTGCAAATTCTATTTTAGTTGAAAAAATTCTATAAAAATGGCTTTACATAATGAACTGATACATTCTTAACAGATTTTTCCCAGCAGTGGGAGTATTTTTCCAGTATAATTCAAGGTTAACGTTTCATCTTATAGATATGTAATAAAATTCTTCTGTTCGATCAAAATTTCACTGTTCGGGGATGTTGAAATTAGTGAGGGTTATTAAAATAATGATACTTAAAGAAGTGATTTTTTGGAAGGAAATTGAGGTATGATACTTAAACAAGTGATTTTTATGTCTTTATCCTAGATTTAGTACAAGGTCATCACCTGACATGACCCGGTCATCCTATCAACACAGATGTTGGTTCTGATAATTTTAGCAACATAATTAGTCCCTGGATCATTAGTATTCTATGTTTAAAGCTACAATAAAATTAAATCACTTAGTCTAGTGATTAATTTGTACTACTTAAATAGGTGATTATTAAAGAAAGATAACTCTTACTTCCAACCTTTATGGACATAATGTTACTTGAATCAGTGATTTAGAAAATCACTCATTTAAGTAAGTCCCCTGACTGATTAAAGTAAATCAAAGTATATACCCCCATATCTATTATGCCAAATGATCGATAAAATATTGATTTAAAAAAAGAAAATTAATATATTTTTTTGCTTCAAATAATTATACTGACAATTGTACTGGATTAAACAATAATTATTATATTAGATAATTGATTTCACTACAGATGCGTTTGTATATTAAATTAGATAATTGGATTAGCTAAGTAATAAAATGAGTGTCTAGGTGATTGACAAGACGTGTGTCTCACAAAAAAACTTCTTCAAAACCTTTTTAAAAAAATGTTGATAAAACATCATTACTATAAAAGAATAATACAAGTTATTTTCAAAGTTATAAAAGGTATATAAATGAAAGTGTACAACAAAATCTCTAAAAATAAAATAAAAGTATGGTCAAAAGGACTATTATTACATGAACAAAGTAGAGCTCTGTTACTCTATGGCTATGGCATGTAAAGGAAGGAAACAAGACATTTCGGCACCCAGACAAATCGGCACCCAAGTCTGAAGACATTTCGGCATCCATTTTGGACATTTCCAGATCTGGACATTTCGGGACCTAGACAATTCGACACCTCATTTTTTTTTTAAAATATATATATTAGGAAAAATGAAAGAATTGTTACAGTAATATCATGAATATTATAATCCGTAGATAAAATATGCAATACAAAATTTGAAATCATCATTTAATTAAATCTTGAATGATTGTGTACATGGTGTATGAATAGTAAAACATCATTTAATTAAATCATAATTGATTGTTAGATATGACGGTGTTTGAATAAACATCATTTAATTAAATCATAATTAATTGTAGTTATGCATTAATCTGTATTTTATGTATAAATCTGATTATTTCTCAATAGAGACAAATGAGAGATCAAAAGTGTATAGCTTGTATTTCAGCTTGTGTTCTCGTTTGATAATTACATCTGTAAAGACAACACAATACCTGAAAACTATATTTTATTGTTTTAATATTAAAATCCATCAACATAAAAGCATAAAAACAGTCGAACATAATCGCTATATTAACACTAAACTTGTTAATTGAGTTCATATCCACATACATATATCAGTGCCAGGTAACTTTAATGGTTATTTTACTACATTTTGATCAAGGATAAAATAATTGATTTTATCTTTATAAGGTGCCGATTTGTCTAAGTGCCGATTTGTCTGGGTGCCGATTTGTCCTGATGCCGATTTGTCTGGGTACCGAACTGTCTAGAATTCGTAAAGGAATAGAATTGGAACCAAAATGGTAGAGAAGCAATACAAAACTATCATATGACAATCCCATTGATGGAGTATCTTGGTAATCAAACTTCAAATGTGATGAAACTGGAAGGTTCGATGTTTGAGTTCTCAGAATAATTTTCTTAAATAAAAGGGAAACATTAATAATTTTAATGTGCGAAATGTCAACAGAAAAATACGTGCTTTATCTGGATTTTATTCTAATCCTTTAAATTTACATGAAAGACGACGAGGTTTCTTGATTACTCATCGCCCTCCTCACCTTTCAAGACAATATGACAGACGTGAAATTTACTGGAAAGGAATAGAAACAAACAAAAGCAGGGTCGATAAGTTCGTTTGTGAAAAACGAAGTCAAGAAATTGTTAAATGTAAAAAGGACTAGTTGGTTGTGTAAAATAAACTTTTATCCTAATGCTTACAGTAATAATTATCTATCATAAAGTAGAAAATACCTTTAAATGTAAATTTTCACTCAGGTTTGATTTGTTTTGTTTGTAAAATCCATTTCGGTAATCGGAGTGGACTTAATTTTATCCGTCCTCTGATTGGTTAAAAATTAAGGTCAAGGTAATAAAAATAAAGCTGAATTATAGTCTTGGAATGTTGTTTTATCGGTATCAAGAACAAATTTTAGATACAAATGAAATTTCATTTGAAAACAACAGTAAAACAGTATTTAAAAAAAAATGTTAAAAATTTCTGACTAAAATTAAAGTCAAATCCGGAATCTATTTACGAACAGCAGGTGCTTGCTGGCAATGTCTAAAACTGTATTTGTTACAGTTGGTACAACAGAGTTTAATTCCTTAATTCAAAGTATAACGCAAGATTCCATTTATAAGGTTAAGTGTTATCCACACTGAAGTATTGAGTGTTTTCTTTTAAAGATAACATAAGACCATTACAATTAAGAGACATATATAATTGTATATAATTCTAGTATTACCTGATTACATGAGGAATCTCAGAATCTCACTTTATTTAAAAACAATGAAAAAAAATGTTTATAGCAACACATTTACTATGACACAAAAAAAACCTTGTCAGAATCTCACTTTATTTAGAAACAATGAAAAAATATATATTTAAAGCAATACACTTACCAAAACTCGTTTACAAATTATTAAACACAAAACCAATAAAAGTTGGGCATGAACGTGTAGGGTGCGAACGGACTTTGGGTGCAAACGTGTAGGGTGCGCAAGTGAAAGGGGGGCGAACGTGATTGGGCGCGAACGGACGCGGATTCGATTACATGACTAGTCAAAATAATTTAATAATTAAGATGTCTTGAAAGGTTTTTTTTTTCTGTGACGCCTTCCTACGATGTCATAACGCTGAAGCCATTATTTCTGTCTGGACTTTTGAGAGAGAATTTTCGGCGGAACTTTGAGAACCAAGGAAGGCCTCACAGAAAAAAAATTAAAATAGCCTTTCAAGACGTCATAATTATTTGGACTATTACATGACTAACTGGCTAATTTTATTCAGTGCAAAAGAATCATTGCTGAAATACAATCAACCCTTGACAAATAAAAAAATTGATGTATAACAAACAAAAAGTTAACACACATCAACAGGTTGGGGAGGATCCTCATAAATGGGTACTATCCTCATTTATGGGTATTATACCCCAAACAGGTATCAATTTTCAGTGATAAAAATATAAAGTTTGGATTTAAGATATTTTCTGTCATGGCGCAAACATTTGGGTAAAGGACAACATTTTGCCTAAAAACACCATGACTGAAATATCATCAGGATAAAAGTTAACAGCCTTCAAAAAGTAGGATTTTTTGAGGCCATTATCTTTGTATTAAGTTCTCATTTGAACTATGGTCTTAAAGGGGAAAATGTTGCCATTTGAATGAATATTTGCACCATAACAGGTATTACGATGAAATACAAAATTTGGCTTTTTATCACTGTAAATTGATACCACATTTTGGGTATAATACCCATGAATGGGAATAGTACCCATTTATGAGGATTCTCCCCAACCTGATCAATTATACACATGAGCAACACGAAAGGGGCCACATGTGGAGCAGGATCTGCTTACTGTTCAAGAGCTCCTGTAAAAATTATTTCCGTACTCCAATGTACAGTCAGGGGTACTACTTGTATTTGGGGGCATTTTGTCCAAGGTTATGGTTGTCTTTCTGATATTGTTTTACATCTAACCCCCTTGTTTTATTAATTTTGTATTTACATTGTGCCATAGATCAAATTTATTCGTTCAATGTATGTTCACTTGTTTTTGTTAATATGTCTTTATTTTGATTGAGTTAAGTCATTTCAATTGATATTTTATAGTGTGTCTTTCTATGTTGTGATGTTACACTATTGTTTCAGGTAGGGTGATGGTTGGCGCCTATTAAAACGTTTAAACCTGCTGCATTTGTTTGCACCTGTCCTAAGTCAGGAACCTGATGTTCAGTGGTTGTCGTTTGTTGATGTGGCTCATAAGTGTTTCTCGTTTCTCGTTTTTTACATAGATTAGACCGTTGGTTTTCCTGTTTGAATGGTTTTACACTAGTCATTTTTGGGGCCCTTTATATATAATAGCTTGCTGTTCGATGTGAGCCAAGGCTCTGTGTTGAAAGCCGTATTTTGACCTACATAATGGTTAACTTTTACAAATTGTGACTTGGATGGAGAGTTGTCCCATTGGCATTCATACCACATCTTCATATATCTATAAATAGCGGAAGTACTTCACAAAACATTTAAACATCTTATATTATACTATAGACTAAATACCGAAAGTACTTCACAAAACATTAAAACATCTTAAACTAAAGACTAAATACCGAAAGTATTTCACCAAAACATTAAAACATCTTAAACTATAGACTAAATACCGAAAGTACTTCACTAAAACATTAAAACATCTTAAACTATAGACTAAATACAGAAAGTACTTCACTAAAACATGTATAACATCTTAAACTATAGACTAAATACCGAAAGTACTTCACTAAAACATTAAAACATCTTAAACTATAGACTAAATACAGAAAGTACTTCACTAAAACATTTATAACATCTTAAACTATAGATTAAATACCGAAAGTACTTCACAAAACATAACATCTTAAACTATAGACTAAATACCGAAAGTACTTCACAAAACATATATAACATCTTAAACTAAAGACTAAATACCGAAAGTATTTCACCAAAACATTAAAACATCTTAAACTATAGACTAAATACAGAAAGTACTTCACTAAAACATTAAAACATCTTAAACTATAGACTAAATACAGAAAGTACTTCACTAAAACATGTATAACATCTTAAACTATAGACTAAATACCGAAAGTACTTCACTAAAACATTAAAACATCTTAAACTATAGACTAAATACAGAAAGTACTTCACTAAAACATTTATAACATCTTAAACTATAGACTAAATACCGAAAGTACTTCACAAAACTTAACATCTTAAACTATAGACTAAATACCGAAAGTACTTCACAAAACATAACATCTTAAACTATAGACTAAATACCGAAAGTACTTCACAAAACATTTATAACATCTTAAACTATAGACTAAATACAGAAAGTACTTCACAAAACATTTATAACATCTTAAACTATAGACTAAATACAGAAAGTACTTCACTAAAACATTTATAACATCTTAAACTATAGACTAAATACAGAAAGTACTTCACTAAAACATTTATAACATCTTAAACTATAGACTAAATACCGAAAGTACTTCACAAAACATTTATAACATCTTAAACTATAGACTAAATACAGAAAGTACTTCACAAAACATTTATAACATCTTAAACTATAGACTAAATACAGAAAGTACTTCACTAAAACATTAAAACATCTTAAACTATAGACTAAATACAGAAAGTACTTCACTAAAACATTAAAACATCTTAAACTATAGACTAAATACAGAAAGTACTTCACTAAAACATTTATAACATCTTAAACTATAGACTAAATACAGAAAGTACTTCACTAAAACATTTATAACATCTTAAACTATAGACTGAATACAGAAAGTACTTCACAAAAACATTTATAACATCTTAAACTATAGACTAAATACCGAAAGTACTTCACAAAACATTTATAACATCTTAAACTATAGACTAAATACAGAAAGTACTTCACTAAAACATTAAAACATCTTAAACTATAGACTAAATACAGAAAGTACTTCACTAAAACATTAAAACATCTTAAACTATAGACTAAATACAGAAAGTACTTCACTAAAACATTAAAACATCTTAAACTATAGACTAAATACCGAAAGTACTTCACAAAACATTTATAACATCTTAAACTATAGACTAAATACAGAAAGTACTTCACAAAACATTTATAACATCTTAAACTATAGACTAAATACAGAAAGTACTTCACTAAAACATTTATAACATCTTAAACTATAGACTAAATACAGAAAGTACTTCACTAAAACATTTATAACATCTTAAACTATAGACTAAATACAGAAAGTACTTCACTAAAACATTAAAACATCTTAAACTATAGACTAAATACAGAAAGTACTTCACTAAAACATTTATAACATCTTAAACTATAGACTAAATACCGAAAGTACTTCACAAAACATTTATAACATCTTAAACTATAGACTAAATACAGAAAGTACTTCACTAAAACATTTATAACATCTTAAACTATAGACTAAATACAGAAAGTACTTCACTAAAACATTAAAACATCTTAAACTATAGACTAAATACCGAAAGTACTTCACTAAAACATTAAAACATCTTAAACTATAGACTAAATACCGAAAGTACTTCACTAAAACATTTATAACATCTTAAACTATAGACTAAATACAGAAAGTACTTCACAAAACATAACATCTTAAACTATAGACTAAATACAGAAAGTACTTCACTAAAACATTGATAACATCTTAAACTATAGACTAAATACAGAAAGTACTTCACTAAAACATTTATAACATCTTAAACTATAGACTAAATACAGAAAGTACTTCACAAAACATTTATAACATCTTAAACTATAGACTAAATACAGAAAGTACTTCACTAAAACATTTATAACATCTTAAACTATAGACTAAATACAGAAAGTACTTCACTAAAACATTAAAACATCTTAAACTATAGACTAAATACCGAAAGTACTTCACTAAAACATTAAAACATCTTAAACTATAGACTAAATACCGAAAGTACTTCACTAAAACATTTATAACATCTTAAACTATAGACTAAATACAGAAAGTACTTCACAAAACATAACATCTTAAACTATAGACTAAATACAGAAAGTACTTCACTAAAACATTGATAACATCTTAAACTATAGACTAAATACAGAAAGTACTTCACTAAAACATTTATAACATCTTAAACTATAGACTAAATACAGAAAGTACTTCACTAAAACATTTATAACATCTTAAACTATAGACTAAATACCAAAAGTACTTCACTAAAACATTAAAACATCTTAAACTATAGACTAAATACCGAAAGTACTTCACTAAAACATTAAAACATCTTAAACTATAGACTAAATACCGAAAGTACTTCACTAAAACATATATAACATCTTAAACTATAGACTAAATACAGAAAGTACTTCACAAAACATAACATCTTAAACTATAGACTAAATACAGAAAGTACTTCACTAAAACATTTATAACATCTTAAACTATAGACTAAATACCGAAAGTACTTCACTAAAACATTTATAACATCTTAAACTATAGACTAAATACCGAAAGTACTTCACAAAACATAACATCTTAAACTATAGACTAAATACCGAAAGTACTTCACTAAAACATAT